AGGGGTGATCGTGTCCTCTGATTGCATCTCCAAACTGCACCGCTCCTCAGACTGCCTAGACTGCAGACTGAATACACGAGCTCCTGAGCTCCTGTTTTACATTCTAGCGCTGGGATTAAAGGTGTGCACCACCACCACCACCACCACCACCACCCAGCTTCTATGGCTAACTAGTGTGGCTGCCATGATTAAAGGTGTGTAACACCACTGCCTGGTTTCCATGGCTGTGGCTAGTTCAGCACTCTGATCTTCAGGCAGGGTTTATTAGATCATAAAATATCACCACATCGTGTTTCTGAGACAGGGTTTCTCTGTGTAGTCTTGGCTGTCTTGGAACTCTGTACACCTGGCTGGCCTCAAATTCTTGATCCTTTTCCAAGGTCCATGACCTCACTAGCCCTGGGAATTGTCTAGGTATCTAGACCAAATACGATTTCCCTCATGTTGAGGGGCCTTCAGTCCAGTTAGAAAGCTGTTGGTTACTACCAACACGTGAGTGCCACTACTGCCCCTTTATGCACGTCTTGCTACGCTCTCCATTGATTTGGTTCATAGGTGTAGCAGCTGGGCAGGACTATTAGTTGCTTCCTTCCCTTGGAAGCTTGCATAGTATCTTTTGGCACCATGGCAATCTTCAGACTAAGAAGTTTGTCTTTTTGCTGCAGGGGAGGGGAGCATTCACACTGCAGTTTACATAAAAATAAAATCACTTCCTTTCAGAATGTTCTCTGGGTATATCATCTCTCAGCTCGCCGAGGTCTGCCTGCTTCTGCCTCCTGAATCTTGGGATTAAACTGTGCACTACCATACTGAACACTGAGATAAATTCTTGCAGTCCAGGCTGACCTCAAACTCAAAGCCCTAATGTGGCACTACTGGAAGGCGATGAGAGCTTTAAAAGGTTGGGCTTAATGCTGGTACCTTCATGCCATTGGAGATGTGCCCTTGAAGGAAATACTGGGGCCCTAACCGCTTCTATACATGCATATAGTGTGTGTGCAGGTGTGTAGAGGTACATGTGCATGTGCACACATGTATGTGGGGGGTGCATGTGCATGGGGAGACCAGAGATGATTAACACCATGTATCCTTTACTATGACTCTCTGAACCCAGAGACACCAATTGGCTAAACTGGCTGGACAGACAACTCTGGAGGTCCTCCTGCTTCTGCTCCCACCCCCAGAAGTAGGGCTGCAGACATGCACCATTACCCCCTGGTTCTACGTGAGTGCTGGGGATCTGAACTCATGTCCTCATGCTTGTGTGACAGGCACATTATGGATTGAAGCATCTCTCAGCCCTGGGACCCTTCCTAGCCTCCATCTCTTTCTTGCACTTGTTCTGCCGTGTTGTTAAACTGCAGGATCAAAGCAACAAGATCAACTGAGCATGACATGAAGCTTCTAAAACTGAGTGCAAACAAACCATTTCCATGTTTAGGTTGGTCTGACAGTGCTCGCTACTGTCACAGGTTGCTGACCAATGCATTTTAGTGTGTAATGACCTGAGAAGTGACGGGGGATGGGAAATAAAGCAAGAATGGGCTAGCTATTCAGAAAGTCTGATAATAGATGAGCTTTTAGAGTTGGGGGTGAGGACGTGAGAGGAGGCAATTCCAGAGTTCGTTTTAGAGGTTAGTGGCAATGTGGCCATATTGATCAACAAAGAAAAGAAGAAATGGAAGACAGCAGAATGTTTTTTCTTCTGAGCTTTCTCTTTGTTGATTTTGCTCACCTGTATCTTGTGTTCACTCTTGACACCCTACTAAGTGCAGGGTGTTTGAAGGGTGTGATCCACTTTTACTTAGTCTTGGTAACTAGACTCTTCCTTCTATAGAACAGCCATTTCAGTAGCCGCCAGAGCCTCCTTAGAGGGCAAGATGGAAGTTTGTTCTCCCCCACTCACTGAGAACCACGTGGGACAACACCATCCTTACAAGATGTGTGTCTCCACACACGTGTAGATTGGGCCTGGACTTTTACCCATTTGGCATGCTGGGAGGATCTGGGCTCCATGCCACCCAAACTGATCTCTTGTTCCCAATAACAATCAATAATTACAATGATGCCCTGGTGGGGTTCCAGGAAGCTGTAGTTCTTGTGTTGCTGGCAGTGCAGGGTGAGGCCCAGGCAGAAGCCAAAGGAACTGCATCTCTGTGTCTGAAACAGCCCCTTTCCCTAGATGATTCTAGCGTAGGCTGGATACCGTAAGGTTTCTCTAAGTAAACAGGCTCACCAGCTCATCCAAGCAGAAGGAACAATCAGTCACAGAGGACAGTGTCAGGCCACATCTGGTGTGGGACCAGCCTCCTATGGCCATTGCCTAATCTGTGCCTCCTGTCCTCTCCCCAAGACTGGTTAGCTTACCCTGTTGTTTTCCTTGACTTTGCCTGCAATGCTTTCTGTCCCAAGCTGCCCCTGCCTCTGTAGTTTCCCTCTCTCTCTCTCTCTCTCTCTCTCTCTCTCTCTCTCTCTCTCTCTCTTCCTTTCTAAAAATAAAAACATAAAACTATTTTAATTATGTGTTTCTTTGTGTGGGTGTGTGCATGTGAATACAGGTACACAAGGAAGCCAGAAGAAGGTGTTGAATCCCCTAGAGCTGGAATTGTAGGCACTTATGAGTCAGCCAACATGGGTGCTGGAAACCAAACTTGGGTCCTCTGAAAACACAGTACATGCATTTAATCACTGAGTCATCTCTTCAACCCGTCTTCCTTCCCTCCCTTCCTTTTCCCAGGGTCTCAGGAGCTGGCCTTGAACTCACTCTGTAGCAAGGATAAACTTAAACTTTGGATCATTCTGCTTTTTCTACCTCTTTCTTTCTTTTTTGGGGGGTTGAGACAGGGTTTCTCTGTGGCTTTGGAGGTTGTCCTAGAACTCGCTCTGTAGACCAGGCTGGTCTCAAACTCACAGAGATCCGCCTGCCTCTGCCTCCCGAGTGCTGGAACTAAAGGCGTGCGCCACCACCGCCCGGCTTGCTTCTATCTCTTGAAGGCTAGAGTTACAACTGTGCACCACCAAGCTAGGGATCTGAGTCAGGGACCAGAGCAGTTAGATGAATATTCTTCCAACTGAGCTACAGACCCAAGCCCTAAAATTCTCTTTGCAAAACACAGATCTGATCAGAGCACACCTTTGGTAAATTTCTAACGATATCCACAGCCTCCACTGTGTAGTCTTCAGTCCTTGCCTACCTGTAGGCATGTGGGAATGTTCCGAACTTGAACTCTACCCATTGTCAAACCTGTCCAAGCTATTCATCTATTCCTGTCTTCATTTGGAGTGTACTCTGGCTCATTCTTGGGGCCTTCCCATTTGTTCTTTCCTCAGTCTTCAAAGGTTCTGCTGTGAGACATTTATTGGGGCCCCCCTTCAACTATCATCCATCCCGCTGAGCTTTACAAATCTTAAAAATTTTCATTAAAATAAATCATCTGTGTATTGTGGTAATCCATCTTTTGGGGGAAAAACAGCTTTCTTGACTATAAAAGTCAGTCTTGCTCCTTATTCGTATTCATGCCTCCCTCCTCTTAGGAGATCTTGCTTTGCAGCCCAGGACAGCCTAGAAGGCAGGAAAGTATCTTGCCTCGGGCTGCTGACTGTTGACATTAAGGATGCGGCCACCACCACACCCACTTCATTCTCTCTTATCTTCTGGGCAAGTCTTTTTTGTTTGGATGTCTGTGTCCCCAGCCAAGGAAGCCCCACATTCCTTGAATCTGGAGTTGGTGTGGGGTAGACAGGACGCTTCTGATGGATGCCGGCACCGGATGAGATGAGGATGTCATGAAAGGGACTGTGGGAATGGCATTCACCCTCAGCACCAGTGTTTCCCTTTGCACCAACGTCATGAGGAGCAAGTCTGGAAAGGGCTGAGGAAGAGGCCAGGCAGGGTCTCTGGCTAACTGTGTGTGTCTTGACCATTTTACCTCTCTTAACCTCGGACTCTTCATTTTGAAGTTAGCTATAACAATATCATAGAATCGTGGTGAGACTTTAGTGAACGGGGCACCCTCTACCTAATCCTTTGGTATCAGTGTCTTTCTTTCCCGTAGTTGGGCTTTTATTGCTTCCATGTTTCCCAAAACAAGCTGTGTGCTCTTCCTCAGTCCAAGACAAGAACTGTGTCTAGTTCATCCTGGCATCCTCCCCGGTGGTCGCCCCCGTGGCACTCAGCACGAGAAAGAAAGCAGAGATTCTACGGTTCTTTTCCAAGATGACCAATGAAAGGATTCAGAGCCCAGGTTAAACAGAGACCCGCTCCTGGTTCCTTACTCTAGGAAGGTTTCAGGAGAGTAAGAAATAATGTGGATCGCGCAGACAATGGGTAAGATACCGGAGTCTCAGTTCCAGCTTGCCAGAGAGGGACTTCACTTAACAGTCCCGCGGGAGGTCGTGCGCAGCTCACCACAGCCGTTGCGCCTCCTTTGTGCTGCATCAGGTGCAAATCCCCGGAGCGCGGGCTGTGCGCGCTCGCGCTTTGAAGCGCGCACAGAAAAGCCCAGCCCCCGCTCCGGCTCGCCCTCCCAGCTCCTCTAGGATCTACTCGGCTTCCCCTGCTCTAGTCAGCGAAGGGAGGAGGTCGGACACGTCGCCGGCCTCCCAGCAGGGCTTGACTCCGGACGGGCGGGCGTGAGGGCGGGGGGAGCCTGGGACCCGCCGCTCCTGCCCGCTGGCCTTCGAAAGATCCTCCTGGGCCAATGGCAGGCGGGGCGACGAGCCCTGATTGGTGCAGGCGCTCTGCTGATCACTGTGGAAACCCGGGTGGCGGGGAACTCGGGAGGATGCGGAGCCCCGGGCGGGGGGAGTCTGAGGGGTGGGGGAGGAGGCGTCGAGGCTCTGAGCTACCCTGGAGTTTTCACCAAAGGCAAAAGTCCACAACAGGCGGACCGAGGGTGGGGCTGAGGAAGGGGACCGCTTGGGGGCACTGGGAAGCTAGGGGTACTCCAGAGGGAAGGCAGGGATACTGGCTAGCCAGTAAAGGCGAGGAGGAGCGAAGGCGAGGGGAGGAGGCGCGGTGGGAGGAGGAGTAGAAGACAAAAGCCGAAAGCGAGGAGGGCGCCGACCGCACACTGCGGCCGGGAGAGGGACCGTCCGTGCGGTGAGCCGCGGGCGCCCGGAGGCTGTAGCGCACGGGGCATCCGGTGGACAGGCAGCATGGGGAAAGGAGGTAACCAGGGTGAGGGGAGCACGGAGCACCAGGTTCCGATGCCCACCTTCCGCTGGGAGGAGATTCAAAAGCACAACCTGCGCACCGACCGGTGGCTCGTCATCGACCGCAAGGTCTACAACGTCACCAAATGGTCCAAGCGGCACCCGGGGGGCCACCGGGTCATCGGACACTATTCAGGAGAAGATGCTACGGTAAGGGTCTGGGGGTGCCAGCCACCTTTGTCTGCTGCAGGCCGATGTCAGGAACTTGGAGGTCCTTGGGCGCCAAATGTATCTCCAGTTCTGAATGGAGCGCAGGACGGCCAGGAGGGAAAGAAAGTGTACCTACTGCTCTCATCTCGCGCCCGGAATCGTCCTTCTCTGGGCCAGCTGGGCAGACTTGGGCCAAGTCTTTTGGACCCCGGGCTTTAGCACCTCTGTGGAAGTCCCATTAGTGGCAAACTGTGCCCGGTGCATGTCCACAGCGCGTACTGCGCGCGGGTACAGGAGCCAGGGACTCTCCCAAGGGGGCGCTCCGGCCTTCGTGCTTTGGCGCTCCCCCATGTGGAAGATGGCCACCCTTGGGCGCCGGGAGAGGAGCCTGAGAGCGGGCAGCCATATGTGGGACTCTCCTGCCAGACCAAGGGGGGGGGGCGGAGAAGGAAAGCTGGTTCCTGGCCAGGACTCGCTCCTGCTTGGACTCCAGTCTGAGAAGGTCCACAATGGCTGCCCGACAGAGACTGCCCAGTAGCTCAGGTTCCCACGCTCCCGAGGATTATCCCGACTCACTCCAAGTGCCAGCCTTCTGGGAAACCCTGGTGGGGAGTTGATGGAAGGCGAATGGGTTGGCTTTTGCAAAGTACAGGTCCAGAAGGGGGATCTAGAAAGTGAATTTAGCACCGAGACTGGCTTGGCAACAGGTCCATCTGCCTCTGGGGTTACTCTCGGACATTCAACTCAATAGCCCTCTGTTTTTAAATCCTGCCAGGGTCGCCCTTCCTTCTTGCACTCCTGGAGGTTGTTGGAATCTCGGGGACCTCTCTGGAACCAAGGCTGCCCTTATGCACACCAAATGTGCAGCTCAGCAATTGCATAGAAGCCCACTCCATGCCTGGCCCCACCCCCAACGTAAAGGATTGTGTGGTCGGGTGGGTAAAAGGAAAAGCAAAGTCAAGGAGGAAGATGGGACCTTTCTGGCAGTGGTGGTGAGCTGAAGGCAGAGGAAAAGATCGAGGCTGGAGAGAACTTGGGAAAGATGAGTGGGAAGAGGCGAGAAGAGGGATGAACTCAGAACGCATTCCACCTGAAAGTCCAGGGCACTGACCTGTTTGTGGGCTTTGGTTGTGCAAGTTTGTTAGTTTCAATTCATAACGTCCACACACTCTTTTCTTCTCTTTGAGATCAGCCTAGGTAGCCATACTCTAAACTAATCAGTGGACAGGATACACTCTTATTCAAGACTGAGGAGAGAACTGGCCTTATTTATACCGCCTAAAGCCTATTTTCCTTGCTTGTGGACACTGCTTAAGTCCATGGGACTGGTGATGCTAATCACACCTTAGGCGGGTGTAAGCTTTTCATACTCCTTGAGTGTCTTAGCTTGCACCTTTCCACAACCAGAGAGGACCTTGGTTTCCCAGTGGGAAGATGTCCCAGCACCACTGTTATGTGGCGCTAGTCTGTGCATGACTCTGTAGGTGAATCATAAAAGGCTCCTTCCCTTTCCAGGTTCTCATCAAAAAGTATAACGATAAATGTGATAGATTTAATCTGCTTATTCCATCTCATGAGGGAAATAGGTTTTCTTGTGTGGAAGCTCGATCAGACAACATCCTTGAACTTTGTAGTGTGCTTAAGACATCAGACGCATTTCATCCTTAGTGTTTCCCTGACCCAGTTCCTTCCAAATGCCTGTGCTCAGAGCAAAGCTGTCCCGTACCTGGATGGCTAAAAGCTCCTGCATGCTAAAGGCCTGACATGCTGTTCACTGCTGACCTCACTGTTTTCGGTGTCCTTTTTTGCGAGCCTGCTCTCTGGATGTTAATCGCCCCGTGATAGGAAAGGTAAGGTGGACTCAGTAGGCTGTAGATGTGATCACTGGGAGTGACCCATACATGGTGTCACCAGGTGGAGACACCCTCACCCCTACCCCAGTGAGCACCAGGTAACACAATGGAAAGTTATTAGAAAAGCAAGAGGAATGCAACAACTAGAATGTAAAGTACTTGAGAAATAGAGAAGAAAGAAAACTAAGTAATTCAAAGCAAGCTCATTTGATACTATAACCAAAGTCTTCTCAAATAAGACTTTTGGGGGCACAAAACACACTCCCTGGAGATAGAGTTGGAGGGCAGTGAAGCAAGCAGTGGTATTTTCTTTGGAAATCCCCCCCCGCTTTTTTTTTCTTTTTATATTGTCTGAGACCAGCTTGGGAAAAGGTCTTGGTAAACAAGGAGCTCTTCAAGGGGAACTTCAAGAGCAGGAAGCCTTCGTCAGGCTGTTTTGCAAGTAGCTTTGCCCCTTCGTGGCTTTACTTTCTTTTCAGAATTTGAGGGGATGATGGAGGGTGCACTGAGGTTTGGGGAGAGACTGGCCAGCAGAGGCTGGTCCCTAGAGCACTTTCATTGTCGCCTGTCCGAGGATATCTGTGATGTCTTGACAAGAGGCTGGAAGGGGAGGCCAGGAGTCAAGGAAGCCATTTTGAGGACAACCTAAGTGTCCAGTGGAGAATTTTCTGTTTCTGAAGAAAGAACCTCAGAGCGCTCGCTCACTTCTTCCCTAAAAGGACGGAGAAGTTGTCACTTGGCCTTCTGTAGTCAGACCCTGCCTTACTTGTACTAGTAAAAGTCACTTAGTGTGGGGCTGGAGAGATGGGTTCAATTTCCGCACCCACATGGTTGCTCATACCTGCCTGTAACTCTGGTTCCAGGCTTCTGACACCTCACAGAGACAGACAAACGAGCAGGCAAAACACCAAAGAACATAAAATAAAAAGACTGAAAAAAAAAGTCACTTAGTGGCATGTGCCCAGAGCCCCAGCTACTTAGAAGGCTGAAGCAAGAGGATCACTTGAACCCAAAGTTTTGAGAACAGCCTGGGTACCATAGTGAGATTCTACCCCTAAAAACAGTGTAAGTTTTGCAGCTCATAAACCCATTGGTATATGCTATCTCATTTGGTTCTCAGTTCAGCCCTGCCACTGTCCTGTCCCGAGGCTCAGAAACCCTGCCCAGGTGTTCAGCCCTAACTGCTGGCACTAAGCCCTCCAGCCTCCTCTTCCTCTCTCTCTCCTCCTCACTCTTCTTTTTAGGTTTTTAGTCATTTCTACTGGTCCCCAGAGGTCTCCTGTCTTAGATTTGTTGTAGGCACAAAGAACTGTCACCCACGCCCCAGTTTGCACTTTCCTTGAGAATCTGGTCAGTGCAAAATGAACCCCACTTGTGAATTTTCATCTCCAGCAAGAGCTCATCAAACATTCATTGAGTGTCTCCATGGCTCCGAGCTGGGCTCTGAGCAGGACCTAAGCAAAAAGATGAATAATTCACGGACAGTGGCCTGCGTCCACTGGATTGTGCCCCTCCTTTTTCTCTGTCTCAGACTGGGGCTTGAACCAAAAAACAAAACAAAAAAACAAAAAAGCATACACACAAAGAAAACCAGAAGCAGTTGAGAAAATGGAATTGTGCGCCTGACAGGGTATGAGGGTCAGGGTATCAAAAGAGTTGGGAGTTTCTAGGCCTGGAGGGCAGCTCTCTCTCCTCAGCTAAGTAGGAGCCATGCGACTCCTGCCCACTGCAGTTTGGTGGGAGGAAGGCCCCATATCCAGCCCCAGCATCCCCTTATAGTGGTTCTAATAAAATGCAAATGGAATTGGACTGGGGATATGGCTTAATAGTTAAAATGCTTGCTGCCCAACAGAGAATGAAGTGCAGATCTCAGAACACACATCAATATGGGGGGGCAGCTGATTTGTAATTCTAGCCTCCGAATGCAGAGGGATGGGGTCCCCAGAGCAAGCTGGCGAGTGAGACTAACCATACCAATGAGCTCCGAGTTTGATTTCAAAGCCCTGCCTTGGTGAAAAGTGCCAGGGCAACTGAGGATGACTCTCAGCATTAACCTCCACGTGTGTGCACACGTGTGCACACACACATACAAGAAGGGGAATTGGCATCACATCTTCATGCCCCATCTGCCTCTGTGAGGACTTACTTCCTGTGCAGCCAGGGAAGTCCACACATCCTGTGTTAGCAGGTATTCTCTTACAAGGGGCTCATGGGCCACTGAATACTGCCTTTATTCAGCCTTTTCTTGAAGGGAACAAGAAGGAAGTCAGAAACTAGTATCCCTGGTGTCTGCCATCTTTTTTAATCTGCACTTGTGAACTCCAGGTCCCTCTTGCTTTGAGCAGGCATCTAGGAGCCCTGGATCACTGCGGGGAGCACTATGCACCCTCACTTATTGAGCCTAGACTTCTCGAATCCCTGGCTAGCTTCACGGGTATGGAAAGTTACTTTATCACAGCTGTGCTGTGCAGAAGAGCCTGGGCATGGTCAGAGACAGGTTTGGGGGCCTTGAGCTCAGTGCAAGGACAGGAACAGTGAGTTCTGCTCAGAGGTGGCAGAGGCAGGGAAGCTGTGCCTAGAGAAGGCAGCTGGGTGACTAAATAAGGAGCAGCAGATAAGCAGCAAGCACAATGCTTAAGGACCTGGGCCTGTGACCCCACCAGGTGCCTGTCCGGATCTCCTCCTGCACCTGAGCACCATTCCTCTCACCTGCCCTGAGTCTTGGCCTACTTCCTAGAAAGACTTGGCTTCTCTCGCTGCCAGAGAAAGAGAGCCTACTTCCAACTCTGCTTCCAAAACTACCATTTGGGTTGGCCTGGTCTTGCCTTGCATGGTGGCCCACTCTGCAACCTGACATTCCTGTAACCAGACAGCTGTTGGGAACCACCATGTTCAAGGCACAGCTATGGCCCCCTGAAGCAGGGACATCTGAAGTGATCAGTTCCCAAAGAAGAGAAAGCTCATTTCAAGGGAGGTCTTTGTCCTAACAGCAGAAAAATCAACAGGCAGTCATCTAGTCCAGGCTGTGCCCAGCCAACTCCTGGGTGTGATGGTGGACAAGTGAGGTCACCAGCCTAGTCCTCTTCTCATCAGTAAAGCAGGACCCCGAAAGGCTAGGCTGCAACTCAGTAGCTATTGCTTGGTTAGCATGTGCGAAGCTCCAGGTCTCATTTCTAGTACCACACAAACAAAGTCAGCAACAGATGACCTACCTGCCAGAGCCGGGTAAATAGTGGCTGATGACTCAGGCCACTCATGCGGCACGCCTCCTAGCCTACGAAATGACAACTAGACCCACCCCAGGGCGTGAGTGCCTAAAATGATGAGACGTTCCCGTGTTCTAGAGTATCAGTTGGGTTGTGTAAAGATGACAGAGGGTAGAGTCAACGCTGGTCTACAGGATGGAAGCATGGAATAGAGGCTCACAGCCATTGGGCCCTGGGGTTCTTGAAGCCTTGTGAACAAACACTCTTGTGAAGCAGGTGTGGAAATGGTCAACACAGGCTAGATGTGGTCCTTTCACCTCTAGATGACAGGCTTTACAGTAAACATGCCACGCAATGTGTGCAGCTTTGTGTGTGTGTGTGTGTGTGTGTGTGTGTGTGTGTGTGCGCTTGTGGAGGCCGGAGTTGATAGCAGGTACCTTCCGCTGTTGCTGACCTCGTTATTTACTGAAGCAGAATGTTGCTCTTGCTCTGAGGGTCTCCTGTCTCCATCTCCTCAGGGCAGGTATTACAGGCAGGTTGGATTTATGTGAGTGCTGGGGGTTCCTAGGCCAGTCCTCATACTTGAATGGTAAGCACTTAATGCCAAGCCATCTATCTCCCCAGCTCCCCAGGTAGTGGTCCTTATGTGGGTTTGAAGAAGGGGAGACTGAAAAGCCTAAAGCTGGGGAGGGGGAAAGTTTCTGGCAGGTAACACTGAAGCAGGCGCTATAGCTCCAGCACAGGTGTGCGAAGGAACTTGAGTCTGTTCTGGAAACTGTTATGTTGGTCACAGCAGTATGCTGGTCCCACAGAATAATCCACTCATTTTTCTGAGTGGATTAGAGGCATGAGGGAGAGAGGTGTTCCTGCTCTGCTCCCCCACATTCAGGACCTCATTGCCTGGGAGCTTTGAGGCCCTGAAAGGCCCTGGCTTCCTGCCTGGAATGTGACTATGTCCCTCACCTGATTTCAGGGAGCTGAGGTTGTCCTAGAGCCCTGTGCAAATGGTTAAGGAGTAACTAAGGTCAAGACAGGGTTCTCATTTGCCCCCATACCTGGAGGTATCCTGAGTGGAGGGGGTGGTGTGTGTGGGCAGGAAGAACTTAGGTAAATGAAGGCACTTGCTAGCTACCAAACTTTACCTTTACCTTTCAGCAAGTGGAGAGGAATCTTACTTTCCTGTCTGTAGGGAGGGACCCAGGCCTGAGCCTTGACTTTGGCAACTCTTGCTGGGTTTTCTTCTCTGAGTATTGTGCTGTTTTTTTGTTTGTTTTGTTTTTTGTTGAGAAGCCTGAGCCTAGGCCTAGCAGAACTGGTCTACCCTCCTCACTGCCTGCCTGAGGCTCATGGGACAGCTGGTCTCTCTCTGATAAGACCCTTGGCTTTGATCTGGCCCTTTGTTTTAATCTTGCCCTTTGCAATCGGGGAGATTAATTTGTTTTATTTCCTTGTTTGTAAACTCTGCCCATTGTTCTCTTGTACAAAATGTTACGTTGCAGGTTCACATAATGGCCTTGCTGGGATTATAGATGAGATCCTCTTTCTAAAGGTTGAAAGATAAACACTGAACGGGGGCGTTGGTGGCGCATGCCTTTAATCCCAGCACTTGGGAGGCAGAGGCAGGCGGATCTCTGTGAGTTCGAGGCCAGCCTGGTCTACAAAGAGCTAGTCCCAGGACAGCCTCCAAAGCCACAGAGAAACCCTGTCTCGAAAAACCAAAAAAAAAAAAAAAAAGAAAGAAAGAAAGATAAACACTGTCTCTTCTGAACCAAGAGTCACTAGTAGTAATGTTTGATCACATTTGCTTTGTCCTAATGTGTAGACAATTTTCTTTTGAAATTAAGTTGTATCAAAACCAGGTATGGTGGTGCGTGACTTTAATCCCAGAGAATCTCAGTTCAATTCCCAGCACCCACATGGTGGCTAACAACCATCTGTAACTCCAATCTCAAGGTATCCAATGCTCTCTTCTGACTTTCTTGGACTTCAGGCACACACATGATATACATACATACTTATATACAGGCCAAATACTCATACACATAAAATAAAAATATCTAAAACTTTTTACAAAGTAAGACACCAAAAAGTTGTAGTATCACGTGATGTCCCCAGATGCTTCAGCATCTTCTCCCAAGCATAAGAGTGTTCTGTGATAATCATGATGCCTCTATCACAGCCACAAAAACAATTAAAGCTGGAGCTGTGTTTCATCTGGTAGTGTTTGCCTAACATGCTCCTGGATTCAGTCCCAAGCATTGCGTAAACTAGCCATGGTGGCACACGCCTGTGGTCCCAACACTTAGGAGATTAAAGCAGGAAGACAGAGGTCATCTTTGCCTACATATGAGCTTATGGGCCAGCCTGGGTGGCATGAAACCCTGCCTTACAAAATTAATAATCCCTGCTGGATCAAAAATCCAATGCCTGCTTTTGTTTTCATATCTGCCTCCCAAGAGTGTTGTGTAACTTCTGTTTTCCCTCCAGCCAGGAACCTTTCTAGTGAAAGCTGTGGGCTATACGTCTCCATTTAGACCCCTGTCCCCACACTTCCATCTCCCCTCCTCACTATGTTGGTTTTTCTGGTTGGTTTCCTGGTACCATATGGCTTGTTCAACTCAACCCTGCAGTGCCTCGGATCGAATGAGTGGTGGGAGGCGGGGTAAACATGAAACAGGAGTGTCCGCTGACACCCACGCCTGGGAGAGACGCTTGATTTTGTGGAGATCATTTTTGTCATATATGTACTATGTAGAAGAAGTTGGCAGAACCACTCCCTACATGATTATTTTTCCTCTTTATTCTTCTGTGTATTTACTAATGTTGCCAGAATCAAGCACATTTTCACTTCATCTTCAGAACAAGAAAGGAAAAATGTAGAACACAATAGTAACACTAGAGGAAGTTTGCAAACTCATGGAAATAAAACAAGGCATAATCCATGTCTTTAGCAATAGTTTAGAAGCCCCCCCCCAACCCTGTGGCAGGGCTTTTGGGAATCATTTTACATAGTTCCATGTTATTTCTTTCTCCTGTTATTGTTTAATGTCATCTAAGCACATTTTCCATACTGTAGTCATTTTCTAAATGTTAGGGATCCTGCATGCTGGGCAAGCATTTTTATCACTGAGTGAAACCCCTACGGTGGGTCTTATCTCTGCACTGATAATTGTGATCACATGGATGAGGAGATCTCTGGAGCGGTGGATGGTGTAGTTTGTGCACTGCAAAAGACACTCACCGCAGGAGCAGGCCAGGGCTGTCTTCCCTGAGTCCTGTGTCTACCTGTTACACCTCTCTGGAGACCTGTCTGTCCACAGACCCTCCACCAGCTCAGCAGGCCTGGTGCCCGTGCAGCAGCTCAGGCTGGTTACTGTTTGTAGCTGGAGTCCTGCAGTGGGACTGTGTCCTGGGGCTGAGTCTGGAATGAACTCTTGCCACAGGGTGGTGGGAAGTCCCGCTTGCTGTCTGAGCAGAGACCCTGCTACCAAAGCAACAGCCTTCCCGGAGTGGGAGGAGCCAACAGAGGATTGGGGCTCAGTTTTACCACCTGCTTCTCTACTTCCCAGGATGCCTTCCGAGCCTTCCACCTGGACCTTGACTTCGTGGGCAAGTTCTTGAAGCCCCTGCTGATTGGTGAGCTGGCCCCAGAGGAGCCCAGCCTGGACCGGGGCAAGAGCGTGAGTGGGCTTGTAAACTTGAGGGAAGTGGGATGAGGCTGGGTGGGTGGTAGGGGTGAGAGTACTTTCTCCTCAGGACCCCTCTGTCAGGGTCCTTGAGCCTGTCCAGGAGGACGACCTCAGAGTGTCCCCTGGGAGTCGCCGGCTGGGTGATAACTAATGGCATCCTCTCTCCTCCAACTGGACTCTTTGCCCCTCCCCTTCTTTACTCAAAGCTGCCAGATGTTGGTCTGGTACACGACTACCTAAGAAAGGACAGAAACAGTGAGACAGTATCAGCGAATGGAAAGTGCGGCTGTTTGGAATAAGTCACCTACTCATTTGTCACTGAATCAGACACCCTACTGAGTGCTGGGCTTTAAAGAGCAGTGTGTAAAAATCACTCCCCAGACCTTACCAGCTGAAGTGGTGAAGCAGCTTATAGACCAGACCGGGCATGCATGATGGAGCTGTGTAGAACAGCATGTTTTAGAGTTGCTCAAACCCTCGGGGGTCCCTCCCTTCTCCTCCCCTCAGTCTTTACCTTTACTACTAGAGTCACCGTCTCCTGGAGCCTAGGCTTCTCCCGGCCTTAAGCAGGTACCCATCCCTGTGTCCTGAGTCTGCTGGCCTGGCGTCTTATAGGGTGGGCTGGTTCAGGTCCTCAGAGGCACACCATGGTCTCAGAGCTGGGACACTTTCACCTTCAACAGACATACTGTGTGTGGCCTTAATGCCAGCAGGAGAGGGTGTTCTACCATCACCCCTGCCTGTTCTAGGAAGATGGCACCTCTGACTGCTGTCCAGGGAGAGAAGTTTCCTGAGTGAAATCAGACCAGGCTGGCCCCTCTTGCTCCTTGCCTGAGCTGGAGTAATTCTTAACTAGCTTCTACCTCAGAGTCCAAGCAAAATCTGTCTGGCAGGACGCAGTCTCTTTCCTGGCCTGGATTCTTGGTTGGTCCTCCATAGAGGGACTCTCTGCCTCCTGGGCCCCCATACTCAGCATTCACTGTGACTTCTCTGGCATCCTTAGTGTTCATGAGCAGGACCCCATCCTGCACCTGTACAGTCAGGCAGTGAAGAATGCAAGTGCTCTCTTTTGAGGCATAGAGGTCACTGGCATGCCAAGCAATTGAACTATTGCAAAACTGCCTTCATCACCCAGCTCTAGAACTTTTACATCATCTCCAACTGATACTCTGTGACCTTAACAACAGCTCCTACTCCCTTCAGGCACTGCCAGAAACCATTCCATTGTCTTTAAAGCATGTGACTCCTCCAGGCACAAATCATGCTGTATTTGTATTGTGTATATTTTCATTGTTTTGTTTTGATACCAGGTCTCAGGTAGCCCAGGCTAGCCTTGAACTCCTGGCTCCTACTGCTTTCCCCTTCTCAGATGTTGGGATTGTGTGCTGTCACACCTGGCAACCAGTGTATATTGATTGTACAAAATAACAGGTTTTGTTCTGATATCTTCACGCAAGCATTTGTTCTTTTATAATTGGCCTATTTCATTTCACATGAACTTCATTCAGTATAGGACACATTGCAGCAGTATACCACATTTTCCTTTGTTTTAAGGCTGAACGGTCTATGTACAGAACATAATCAAGTATATCAACCTGCAGCCTAACACAAAATTGTAAACTTACCTAAAACACTACCAAGTGTGTGTGTGTGTGTGTGTGTGTGTGTGTGTGTTGTGACTTGAATTAGAAAAAGCTTTCAAGTGTGGACTTTGCAGATGATGACATTGTGTTGCAATGTCAAAAGGATAAATAAACCTAGAACTTGGCTCCTCATCCTCACTGGATATTTGGATTGTTTCTACTTTTTTTTAAAGAAAGTGTGTGTGTGTGTGTGTGTGTGTGTGTGTATGCACACGCATGTATACATGGATGCCTATGGAGGTCCAAAGAGGGCATCAGATCCCTGAAGCTGTAATTACAGGCACCTGTGAGTGGCCCTGTGTGGATAATGGGAACAGAACTTCAGTCTTCTGTGAGAACTGCAGTTACTCTTAACCACTGAGCCATTCTCCAGCTCCAGTTTCTATTTTTTGCTTGCTGTGAATAATGCTTTTGATAACACTGGTTTGGGGATACAAGCTGCTTATTTTATTATTATTATTACTCACAGTTATAGGAGGCCATTTTTGTACACATATACAGTGTACTTGGAGCATATTGTCCCATATCCTGCCATTCTCCCCTAACTCCTCCTTCTACCTCCTTTAGTTCCTTAATTTTTTTTAACCTTTATTTTTATTCTATGTGTTTTGAATGTTCTGCCTGCAAGTATGTCTGTGTATTACATGCATGCAGTACCCTTGGAGGCCAGAAGAGGGTGTTAGATGTCTCTGAGACTAGAGTTACAGACAGTTTAGAGCCAGCAACTGGATGCTGGGAATCAAACCCTGGTCCTATGGAAGAGCAGCCAGTGCTCTTAACTACTGAGCCATTTCTCCAGTCCTGTTAGTCCCTCTTGTTTCTATAAAGCTTCATTTCTAGTTCAGTGTCATCCGTAGATATAAGATGTTATGTATGTATCTATGAAGTATAGAATCCACGAGAGAACTGAGAAAGCACAGAATGTCTTTCTGAGATTGACTTGGTTCACTTAGTGTGATTAAAACACAGGCTTCTGAGTCCAACTTTTCTTTTGCCTCTTACCCAGCTGTGGCATATCTGCAATAATGGTGGCCGATGCTGCATCTGGTGGCTGGGTTCACACAGGGTTCAAGGCGCTCGCCACAGCTATAGCGTGTACTGTGCTTCAACACGTGTTCCCACGGAGGGTGCAGTGACTGACTCTTTTGTATCCTTGCTCAACAGTCTCAGATCACTGAGGACTTCCGGGCTCTGAAGAAGACTGCCGAGGACATGAACCTGTTCAAAACCAACCACCTGTTCTTCTTTTTCCTCCTGTCCCACATCATCGTCATGGAAACCATCGCCTGGTTCATCCTCTCCTACTTTGGCAATGGCTGGATTCCAACCCTCATCTCTGCCTTTGTCCTTGCTACCTCTCAGGTGAGGCCTGTCACCGCTGGCGGTGATCTGAACATTCCCACCCCTCATATCCCTCGTGGCTATTTGCTGATGCTGCAATGACATCCACAACCCTCTCTCCCCAGGCCCAAGCTGGATGGCTGCAACATGATTATGGCCATCTTTCTGTCTATAAGAAATCCATATGGAACCACATTGTCCACAAGTTTGTCATTGGCCACTTAAAGGTAAGTTTTGGGGTTAAAGGTGATCACTCAGCAAGGAAATCTCTTGGGAAGACCTGAGTTTGATACCCAGAACACATGTAAAAATGCTGATTATAGTGTCACATGCTTGTAATCCCAGTACTGAGGAGGCAGAGACAGGAGGATTCCTAGGGCACACTGGCCAGGCAGTGTGAACTACTTGTTGAGCTCCAAGTCAGTGCGAGGCTCTGTCTCAAAGGAGGTGGACAGTGTTCCTGAGGATGCCACCTGAGACTTCCCAGCCTTCTCGTGCGTGTGCACACGTGTATAGCCCCCCTCAAGCATGCAGCACCATGTGCACGCATATTGAAAATGGGGGGCTGGAGGATGGAGGGGTCTATTAGCCTGGGTGATCACCCACCCCTTTAGATTAATTCTCTGCAAATGGGAAATATCCTAAGTTAAAAAACATATGTAACTCCCCTAGTCCACCAAACCTCACAGTTTAGCAACAAAAGGCACTGTAAGGTGTTAGTTGTTTAATGATCTGTAGCTTGCTGCCACACAATCAAAAGCCACCGTAAATCACCTCTACTGTCATTTAGAGGAGTCCTTATCGAGTAACATCAAGCTGTTTAATACTTAACTAACCAAAACCTGAAGTGAGTTGGTTCTGCTCAGATGAGGCCATGCCCCAGGGAGAGGACTTACAGCCAAACGAGTCTATAAAACCAAGCCTGCCAGAGACCTTGAGCTGATCTGACAGGTGTTACCTCGACTTGGGAAAGCATTCCTTGCCAACTGTACTCAGCGCTGTAACAAAGTGCCAGGTGCCAGTGTAAGAGAGGGAGGACTTCTTTCAGTGGCTTGTGGTTTCAGAAGTGTCACTCCACAGTCCTCAGCTCTGGTAATTCTGAACCCAGGGTGAGGCAGAGTACCCTGCTGGTAGGAGCACGTGGCAGATGCTACTTAAATCAAGACAAGCATGAGGAAGAAAAGGACCAGACACAACCTTCAAAGGTGTTGTCGTGTTCTGTTGTCCCCCCCCACAACCTTGTCCCCATTGTCCCCCCCACTGATTCTTACCATCTACTAAAACAGTGCCGTCGGTGTGGGCCTGAGGGTGCCCAAACCACAGCACAGTCTCTCAAACAAACCTCACTGTCCCCCATAGTCACTTCATTCCCATAGCATAGAGTTGCTTCCTCAGAAAAGCTAGGTCTCCAGACTTCTACCCTGTTGTCTTCGGCTGGAGAAGAGCCCTGTGCGCAGGTTAAATATCTGCTGTGTGGCCGTGACCCCACTGCACCCTTGGTTTGCTATTGGACTGGATTGTGAGTGAGACAGCAAAAGATGTGCTCAGCAGTTCCCAGCCAGCAGTTTACCTGAGCCTCAAAGGGCTGGGAACCTGGACCCTTCCCAGACCCTCAAGAGGGTAGCAACACAAGGGCTTTGTTGCATTTTGCACTGTCCTCTGTGGCCTAAAATCCTCCTCTGTGTAGGAAAGAAACATTTTACCCACTACCCCTGCCCTCCCCATGCCATGGACAAAGATGGACTGTGTCCTATTTCCAAGTTCTGGCAGGGGCTTGAGGGCCTTTTCCGCCCCAAGGCCTTGAGTCCTTGAAGGCTCAAAGTTTGAAACACAGCTCTTACATCAGACAGACAAGGGCAGGACAGAGGGTGGCTATAAGGCATTTGCTTGTGAATTGGAATTCTGGGGTCTGGGGATGTAACTCAGTTGGTAGAATGTTTGCTGAGAGTTTTGAAGCCCTGAGTTCATCCCCAGCACCAAATAAAATAGATGTAGTGGTACACCTTTGTTCTCTCTCTCTCTCTCTCTCTCTCTCTCTCTCTCTCTCTCTCTCTCTCTCTGTCTCTCTCTGTCTCTCTGTCTCTGTCTCTGTCTCTCTCTCTGTCTCTGTCTCTGTCTCTGTCTCTCTCTCTCTCTCTCTCTCTCTCTCTCTCTCTCTCTCTCTCTATCTATCTATCTCATTCTTTTAGACATGGTCTCACTGTGTAGCCCTAATTGACCTACAAGTTCCCATATAGATCAGGCTGGCCTCAAATTCACAGAGATCCACCTGCTTCTGCCTCTAGAATTAAAGGCACACACTACCATGCCTGACTGATGATATATCATTCTTTAAATGGTCAGGCCTTTAACTCCAGAACACTGGAAGATAAACTGTTCCAAAATTGAGAGGTCTGTTAAAATTATTTTAAATATAAATTATTTATATCAAAACAAAGTTTATTATGCCTTTCCTTTATTAAGAAGAAAAAAACTTTGCGGCTCTGGGGATTGAACCTGGGGTCTTGCACATGTGAGGTAAGTTCTCTACCACCAAGCTAGAGCTCCAGCTCTTTCATTACACTCTCATTTCAATGTAGGATAATGTAAATTAAAAAACATTTAAGTATGTCAAGCTCAGAAGGTGTCTCACTTGAAAAAAAAAGATAAGCCCCAAAGTAGATTTTGAAAGTATTACAGATGCATTTGCCAGGGTGCACACTTTTTCTCTTGACCCCGGCCGTGATCTGCCCACCCAGCTCTGCTGGCTACACTTAGGAGCCCACTTGCCAGGTGTGGTGTACACTGTGGCCCAGTCCTAGTATCTGGGAGGCCAAGGCAGTGTGAGCCCAGCTCGGCCTCAGATAAGCACATTGTCTCTTGGCTCACCACGGCCTTCCCTAGGCCCAGCCCAGCAGCTGGCTTGGAGCAGATTCTGAGAACACAGAATCCCCAAACAGATGAGGCTTCACCGTGCTGTGGAGGAAGAACAGATGAAGGCTAAGTAGGGCTTTGCCTGGTGAAGAAGCATGAGAGAGACTCAAGGCAGGGCTGATGGCATGAACAGCCGTAATATCATGGCGTCTGGTCCCAAGTCCAGGGAGGGAGTGTGTGCCCCAACCCAATGACCCTCGTTCCTCCTTCCACTAATATCTCTAGGTCGGTGGACTGCCAGCTGGCTTACTTGTTACATTCTTTGCTCCTCAGTGTCAGGGACTTTTCCATCTGATGCTTCTCTTGGGAATTTTGTTCCTTTTGGCTTCAGATGCCAATGTATCCCTTGACTCCTCAGACCTGGGCGCTTTCCCACTCTGACATGCTGCTTTTTGCTGGGATGGGTTTTGAAGCCTGCTGCCTATAGAGACCTGAGGTCACTGCAAAGCCCACAGCTGTTCTTACTATTGCCACCCATGACCTCCGTGTTCTGAAGCTGGGTCTGGATCCAAAACACTCCCCACGTTAGAAGCCTGTTTTGAGCCAATAGACCTTTTTGTAGATGGTTAGACCCTACCAAAGCACATAGCCAGCTAGCTATGTTTTACCTGCTCCTAAAGGGACAGAAAAGATCCGGGTCTTACATGGGTCACCTGGCAACTTTGTTGAGTGACATACCTCTAAAGAAGGCTTTGAGAACTGGTGACATAGCAGCTTGTGGCATTCAAATAAATACCTAAGTCCCCTTTCTGTGCTTCCTGTATAGTGGGACCAGGATGCCATCTAAATATTGGCTCCTCCCGACTGTCAACCAGCATTCACTGAAGGGGACGCATGGCAGGAAAGCACTATGTCAACTGAGATACATTCTGTGAAAACTTGGGAAACCCCCTCCTCGCCGCCGCCATTCTCAACTGTTTTTCTTTTTCTTTTCTTTCTTTTGTTTGTAGGCTTATATTATTTTTTTCAGCATATGCAATTTGTACAAAATATTAGGTTTCATCAGGACATTTTCACCGCCCCCTCTTATCACCCCCCTTGCTGGTTCTCGCTCCTTCCCAGACGGTCTCACTCGCTTTCACCGTCATGCCTTTGTTTTTAAATCTAGAGTCCCTGTCTGAGAGAAAATGTCTTTCTGAGTCAGGCTTATTTCACTTATTGTGACCTCCAGTTCTGTTCCTTTTCCTGCAAATGTCATAATTTCATTCTTCATGGCCAAATCAGTTTCTGTCGCATATATATACTATGCTTTCTCCCCACTCATTCATTGACAGGTACCTGGGCAGATTCCATGACTCAGTTCCTTTGTTTGTTTGTTGTTTGTTTATGTCAGTGTGATAGGTAGCCCAGGCTGGTCTCCAACACAGCTGAAGCTGACCTTGAACTCCCGATCCTCCTGCTTCTACCCCTCAAGTGCTGGAATTACCCGTGTGAGCCACTGTGTCCAGGAGAGCTGACTGTTCTTAGCAGAGTGAACATGAGTATCATGTACTGACTTAGAGTCTGTCTGATATGTGTCCCAAGAGTGGTAGAGTTGTATCATGTAGTAGTTTTTGTTTTTTGAGGAACCCTTATACTGTTTGCCATAGTAGCTGGACTAATTAGTCTACATTTCCAGCAGCAGTGAATAAGGTCCTCCCTCCCAAACACCACATATCTTCAGCAGCGTTTGTCCTTGCTTTCTTGATGGTGACTGTTTTGACTGGGATGGATGGAGTCTCAGTGTGGTGATTTGCATTTCCTGTGTTGCTAAGGATGGTGAGTGCTTTCTTTATAGACTATTTGTACTTGCTTCTCCGGCAACAACCTCATAAATTCATCTGTCTACTTATTGAATGGGTTACTTATTCTCTTGGTGTCTCATTGTAGCCTTTTTATGCATTCTTCCCATTGGATAAATAGCAAAGCTTGTCTCCATTCCTGCTAGTCACCGGCAACTGTTTCCTTTCAATTCAATGCCTGTTGATTCTTGCTATGATCTGTCAGAAAATGGCTGCCAATGCCTACACCTTAAAGTGCTTCCTTGTATTTTTTTCTCTGGTAGTTTCAGGCATTGCATGAAGGCCTTTGATCCATGGGAAACTCGTAGATAAAATAGTGGTTTTGAGATACAATATACACAGAGAGCTATTGGCCCATTTAAAGTGAACGCTTGCAGTAACTGGGAGAATGTTCACAGATGATACATCTAGAGTACAATTTTAGAGCATCTTCATCACCCCTGAATAGGTTCCCACACATTTCCAGCCCGCTCTCCAGTATCACAACCTGTTTCCTCATCACTGCTCACTCCTATCCCTGTCTGGATACCAGCTTTCTTCCACTGGGCTTTATATCAGTGAGATCATGAGCCATGGGATTTCTGGCTTTTTGGTTGTGATTTTACTGGCTTCTTTCACTTTGTGGGGTGGTTCTAGGTTCGCCCATGCTTATATCATGTGTTAGTGGTTCATTCTTTAGAATTCTAGAGAAAGCTTTTTAAAATTTGTTTGTGTATTTATCATTTGGGGAAAAGAGACGCCACAGCATATATGTTGAGGTCACAGGACAACTTTCTTTTTTTATTATTTTAATTTTAAATAGCTTATTTTACATGTCAATCCCAGTTCCCTCCCCTCCTCCCACATCCCCCCACCATCCCCCCAAGCCTCCCACCCTATTGCCAATTCCTTCCGCATAGGGGATATCTAGAGTCTGTCATTTCACTCAGGGTAGGGTCCAGGCACTCCCCTAAGGGACAGGACAACTTTCAAGAGTTGGTGCTGTCCTTCTACCATGTGAGTCCCAGGGATTGAACTCCGGTCACCAGGCTTTGTGGGAGGCACCTTTAGTCACTGAACCATCTTACTGGCCCAGTCCATTCCTTTTTATGGGTTAGTTAAACCATTTCATTGTATGGATACCACATTGTATTTTCAGTTGATGGACATTTGAGTTGTTTCTGTCCTGGTTATTTTTGAGAATTCTGCTTTGAACGTGTGTGTGTGTGTGTGTGTGTGTGTGTGTGTGTGTGTGTGTGTGTGTTAACATCATAATTTCTCTGGCACATAAGTCAGGAAAGAAACTGCTGGTCCCCTGGTAAAGTTAATTTCACTATTTCTGAAGCCCCTTCCCCTTGCCTTATACTGGGAAACTGTCAGAAGTGGCAGGGCTATATTCTGATTTCCAGGGACTCCAGGCATGACCCCCTATGTGATGGAGATGCTGGCTATTCATGTTGGAGGTACCAAGGACCTGGTTCCCAGCAAGGCCTGTCACTGGCAAGACCAAGGGCCCATTGACCTCTGTGGCTCACCTAGCTCCTCTCCCCTTACAGGGTGCCTCTGCCAACTGGTGGAACCATCGCCATTTCCAGCACCATGCAAAGCCCAACATCTTCCACAAGGACCCGGACATAAAGAGCCTGCACGTGTTTGTCCTAGGAGAGTGGCAGCCCCTCGAGGTATGAGTAAGGGGATGGCATTGATTAGGAAGGAAGGAGTCCTGTGGGGTCAGCATTCAACCAGGACATCAGTACTTTCTGCTACCCAGAATCCATTCCTAGTCACCCCAAGGTATCCCAGCTGTGACCTACACAGAGTGGCTTTCCTTGGGAGTACTGGACACAGAGCCTCAGGAGCAGACTCTGTGTCCACAGGAAACTGGGTCAAGTTTTCCAGGAAAACAGAATTGTAGGCCTCCAGGATAGCCCAGTAGGTCAGCCCATGCACAGGAGACGTTATCTGGGGAACAGCAGCCTGGTCAAGCTGCCCTCAACAGCAGATGAGAAAGCAAGGTTCAGACAGAAGACAGGAAGTGGTAGGAGGGTCTGGTCAGTCACCACTTAGTCCAGGATAAGCCTTCAGATCTTTGCTAGGACACATTCTTCTGTTTGACCACACTTATTTTACTGGCATTTTTAAAAATTATAAATATAGGACATACTTGGTACAAACATTGAAATAGTATAGAAATGTATGCTCAGTGTCTTATCTTTGTCACCTCTTGGCCTCAAGTTTTATGGACCCAGTAATAACCACTGCTAATGAGAAGCCAGATAACTTTGTGTCTGCTACTAAGCCCTGTCTCTGGCCCTCAGTGTCATCTGTGTCTTAGTTAGGACTTCCATTGCTGTGAAGCGACACCACGACCATGGCAACTCTTATAAGGAAAACATTTAATTGGGGCTGGCTAACAGTTCAGAGGTTTAGCCCATTATCATCATAGCAAGAAGCTTGGAAGCAGGCAGGCAGACATGGTGTTGGAGAAGGAGCTAAGAGTTCTATATCTGGATCCGTAGGCAACAGGAAGCAAACTGACTTGAACTTTTGAGACATCGAAGTCTTCCCCCAGAGACATACTTCCTCCAACAAGGCCACACGTCCTAATAATGCCTATCTGTAGGGCCATTCCTGTTCAAACCACAACAACATGCATATATCTTTTTCTTTAAAAACAAAATTAGAAATAAAGTATGCCTTCTATTCTGAAGCTCACTACTTCTAATGTGGACCTTGTTCTAGGACTTCAAGGGGGTTGGTCTCATTCCTCCTGGGGACTGTGTAGTATTCCATTTCATTCACATATTCTAGCACGATGCACACTATTTCATATAAGAAATTTTTGTGCTGTTGATCTTAATTTCCCTCTTTGGGTGAGGGTTGTGGTTCACACTCACTCGTGTTAAGCACATGTTCTACCTTCCACTGAGCCCTTTAGTTTTCTCTTATGATTCTGCACCCACGGTCACTTAATTTTCTGTTAATAAAAACACACCCAACCAGGCATGGTGATAATGTCAGCACTCTGGAAATAGGGGCAGGAGGATTTCAAATGCTTAACTTGGTCCAGATAATGAGATTTTTGTCAAAAACAAACTAAAGGGCCAGCGAGGTGGGTAAAAGTGCTTACTGCCAGCCTGATAACCTGAGTTTGATCCCTGAGACCCACATGATGGAAGGAGAACATTTCAATAAAATTTAAAAAGCTTTCTCTAGAAAAGAATGAACCACTAACACATGATATAAGCACGGGCAAACCTAGAACCACCCCACAAAGTGAAAGAAACCAGTAAAATCACAAAATCACACACACACACACACACACACACACACACACACACACACACAAATAAATGGGGGGGAATACTAATTTAAAAAAATAAAATAGGGTTGTAGAAGCGACTCAGCAGCTAAGAATACTGGTTGTTTTTTCAAAGGAGCCCGGTTTGGTTCCCAGAACCTACACATGGCAGCTCACAGTCACCAGTAACTCTAGTCTCAGGGGATCCCACACCCTTTCTGGCCTCTCCAGGCATTCAAGTAGTGCACAGACATACACACAGGCAAAATGTCCAAACACATTACACAAATAACTAAAATAAGGCACCCTTGATGCATTTAAAGAACTAAGAATGGCTAGAATGGCTGTGTTTGCCTCTAATCTCAAGACATCAGGAAACTGAGATAGAGGAATTACTGTGAGTTGAGGCCAGCCTGGTCTACATACCAAGAAGTGCCTTTTTAAAGGGGGTGGTTATTCTATACTTTTTAAAAAGTAGAGCCTCTATGTTAGGGTTTAATTTACAAAAAGGAAGGAAGAGGGAAAAAACTGCACATGTTGGTGTCTTGGAAATATACTGAGGGTGGACACAGGCAAGCTGTGGGTACAGCTCAGTGGCAGAGACCTTGCCCCAAATGCTCAAGGACTTGGGTTCAGTCCCAACATAGTGATGGGAAATCACAGTGCTTGGCAAAGCAGAGCTCTCAGTAGGTAGTTATGGGAGAATACAAACTTGCCCTCAGTAGACAGGATCATAGAAGAAGGAGTTTCCTGGCTGTGTTGGCATCCAAGGTTTGTAACGCAGACAAGAGAGCCTGTCCCCCTCAGTTCTGATTTGTATTCCTGTCTGACACAAGATGCACAGAACATCAGCCACAGTTGTGAACTTTGACTAGGCAAGGATTTCATTTTCTACCCAACACCTGTCTTTGTTTCTCTTCTAGGAAATGGCTTGTTAGCTTTGATTAGAAGTGTTTGATAGCAGGGTTGATTACCCAGAAGCCTTCTGATAGTGAGGACAAAGGCTTCCTGAATGCCTGTGGTAAAGCTGTTAGCTGTTCTCACAGATGGTCCCAAGTCCCTAACAAACAAAGGGAAGCCAGGCTCATCGCTCTGCAAATCAGCTGCACAGTAGCTGATGAATCCCGTCCCATCTCACTCTAAGGATGCTGGATGGCTTTGGGAGGGAGGTTGTAGGAGTCTGCTTGTCCTATTGGCACTTGAAGATGGAGGCCAGGGTCAGAAAGTCCCTCTAGGGCATTCATGTGTCTCCTGGGTTCCTGGTGGAACTGTGTGGGAGTGCTCACGAGACTATGCTGACCTGAAGGGAGCCCAGGTAGTGTCTCCTGAGGCCTCTTCACAGTTCTAGCTTTTCCTTTGGTTCACCTGCCCTGGGAAGTCAATCACGCAATCATACTTACTCTTACAAACAAGGAGGCCAATGCCTTCTCTCTACTGGCACCACTCCGCTATTACTGCTTGGGGTTTCAGCGCTCGGTGGGAACTCTCAACATAATTAAACTGTGGCATACGCAATAATCTTGTTTGCCACCCTTCCCTGTTGCCATGTCACTAACCCCATAGTGTAGTCAACGTATTCTCAGAAATGGGAGTGCCCAGCCTCCCTGCCCGAGGGCTTCCTCTACTCATCTGGGAAGCACCCCTACTGGCTACCTATCTTCCTGCTTCCGGCAGAAGCTTCAGTCCCCACCCTAGTCCTGGCGCATATGTGGCCCTCTTCTTGGGTGTCTAGCATCCTGCCAGTGTCCGCTGTGGCCACATTGCTCAGTGCTCCGTGTATGAGTTTGTGAATTCCCAGAGGCAGCAACTGACCTTGAGGCAACTCCTGCCAAACCACCCCTCAGCTCTAGACAGACAAGAAAGGCCCTGGTTATTCCTCAGACACTCTGTTTCAAACCTGAAAGGTTCTTCTTCATGACCTTGCCGGGTATCTGATGTATCATTTATTTTTCTTCTTGCTGACACAAAATGCCTGACAGGAAGCCATTTAAAGAAGGAAGGGTTTATTGGGATTTAGAGATACAGGCAAGACATTAGTAGGGGGGGGTGTGATGGCAGGATCAGGGAGCTGGCTAGTCACTGCATCTGCAGTTGGGAACAGAGATGAATGTTGTTCTCCGCTTGCTTTCTCTTTTTGGGGGGGGGGTTGGGGTTTTTGTTTTTTTGAGACAGGGTTTCTCTGTATTGTTTTGGAGCCTGTCCTGGAACTGGCTCTGTAGACCAGGCTGGCCTCAAACTCACGGAGATCCGCCTGCCTCTGCCTCCCGAGTGCTGGGATTAAAGGCATGTGCCACCAACTCCCGGCTCAGTGTCATCTCTTAACACCCAAACACATCACTTTTATGCTATAACCTTCCTGTGCTGATCCTGTAGTCTCATGGCATCTCACCGTACAAAATGCATTCAGTCCAGCTTCCGCAGCCTCCGTTGTCTTTAAAAGTTCCAGTACTGTTCACAAGTGTGAATGCAGGAGCTGGGTAAGGTCAATTGCTGCTCTTCCAGAAGACCCAAGTTCAGTTCCTACCAGAGTTCAGATCCTAGCAAATCATGTTGAGCAGCTGGCAACTGTTTGTAACTCCAGCTCCAGGGGATCTGATACCCACTTCTGGCCTCCATGGGCACCTTCACTCATACACAAGTGCACAAACACACAAATGAAAATGAGAAAATACATCTTTTAAAAAAGTGTAAGTGCGCAGTCTCTTCGGAGACTCACTGAGCTCTTGTAGCACTGAAGCCCACGTTCCATACTCCCAGCATGAATGGCACAGAGTAAACATTGACACCCCCAAAGGTCAGGCATGGCATCCAAAGCAGCACTGATACCCAGCATGGTTTGTAGCTGCTAGGGATTGTGGGAGAATCATCTGGGCTCCAAAGGGCGTAGGGAGCCTTGTGCCTGCAGCAGTGCTGCCCACACACCCCTAGCCTCTCTCCTGAGCTGGCGCCATCTTGTAGATGTGGTTTTCTTTGGAGGCCATCCCATGATTCTGGCATCTCTAACATGATGGAGGAGGTGTCTCGTTGTAACTTAACTTCATTTTCACATCTCAGGTGGTTGTGAGCTGCCATGTGGGTTCTGGGAATCAAACCCAGGTCCTCTGGAAGAGCAGCCAGGACTCTTAACTGCAGAGCTATCTCTACAGATCTCAGGGTCTCTCTTTCAACTGGAATTACATTTCACAAGTTGGAGACTTTGTCCTCGGGACACCTTTCTTGTTATGAAAATGAAGAACTGGAGGTTTCCTGTTAGAAGTCTCAACTTTCGCTAGCTGTCACAGCCCCTGTTAGCAGTCACAGCCCTGTTAACAGTCACAGTCACAGCCTCTGTTAACAGTCACAGTCACAGCCTCTGTGAACAGTCACAGTCACAGCCTCTGT